TCAGACAAGCACAAGGACAACACTTTTGTCATTCACAGCCACCAGTCATAGCCCTGCCCCCCGTCCCTCATAAGGCTGAAGGGACATTGGTGAGCGCAACCAGGGTCCCCTGTGAGCCAGACAGGGAGACAGCACACGTGCGCTCCCCAGATGCTGGTGGGCACCCAGGGCGCTGTCATAATGTGCCTGGGTGGGGGCAGCCATCCAGAGTCAAGGCCACAGGCCCTGTCTGAAGGCAGTGGCAGTCAGAGCCAACATGTCACCACAGGGGTCAAGACCCGCGGCTGTCACCGGCTCCTGTGGCTCCCGTCTCGTGGGAGACAGATGTGCCCCTGAGGGCTAAGAACCCAAGCTGCAGCAGACCTGGAACCCACAGCCTGCACCGGGGGGCCCCACAGGTGGCTTCTCCAAGGCGGCCTCCCGCCCCCAGCCCGCGCTGGGGGGCAGTGTCAGCAGCACCTCCCCAGCCGCCGCCTGGCCCAGGGTCACCAGCAATCGTAGCCAGGACACCACCCTCCTCCCTGTCCTGCTCTGAGGGGACCGGGCCCTTACCTGCACCACCTCCTTCACCAGGCTCTTGTCCGTGCCAGTCTTGGCACGCTGCAGCCCGCTGACATTTTCGCCGATCCACGTGATGAGGGCGAACTTGGACCTCTTGCTCATGGCATCCCCCGTGGTGAAGCGCACGAAGGCGAACAGCCGGACGTCGTCTGTGCCGACACAGAGAAGGAGGGCTCAGGCAAGTTCCCACAGCCACCACAAGCAGCACGCTGCAGGGACGATGCAGTACGTCGAAGGGATGACACAGACCCGTTACCCACAGACACCGGGGCACTCCAAGCTGTGGGCCCACAGTGTCCCCAGCCAGAGCCAGAGGACCCCGGGCCAAAGCCCTGTCCAGAACCTCTGCTCTGGCTCCAACCCCGCCAGACCCCAGGTGCATCCCACGTGAGGAAATCCAGCTCCTCCTTCACTGCGTCTCTGAGTATCTCAGACCTTGGCCATGGCCACAACCACAAGAGCTCATACAACTCCCAACAGAGGCCACTGGCGCCCAGGGGTGCCCCGCCCCATCGCTCATCTCATGTGGACCCCTGCATCTCCACAGGGCTCTGGGGCTTCTCGGGTACCCAACAGCGCCGAGGAGCAGCACACCTGCTCCTCACACGCAAGGCACCAGGTTTAAAATCTTCCCAGGACACCCAGCCTTGGCTCCCAGGCCCCTGACAGTCTGGGCCTCAGAGACGCTGTCACTGGTGGAGGCCCCCCCGCGCCCTCCGTGCTTCTCGCCTCTCCGTGGAGAGCTCTGTCTTCCTAGAGGCTCTCTGGGGCCTCCCCGCTGGCACCACACTGCGTACACATACCACCCAAGACTCAAGGGCAGAAACCCTGTCTGAAGGCAGTGGCAGTTGGAGCCAACAGTGTCACCAGAAGGGATCACGACCTGCAGCTGTCACCAGCTCCTGTCTTGCGGGAGACAGATGCACCCTGGAGGGCTGAGAACCCAGGCTGCAGCAGACCAAGAATATGCTTCTGTCCCCGTGGATTTCACGACAATGACATCATAGGATGTGGAACCTCGAGCCGGTGCTTTCCGCAGGATCGGGTCCAAGGTTTGCTGTGTGCCCGGTGGCAGTGTGAACACCAGTCACCCACTGATGCTCAACTCTCTCAACAGGGGAGGCTCGCCCTGTCCCCCACCAGCCACAAGGCGAGCCCCCGGGAGGATTCATCCCCGTGGCTACCCAGGCCTCTGGCCCCACGGAAAGAGCCTGCCCCTGCCGTCCTGCTGCAGACAGCTCGGGCAGCAGCTGCACTTGGGAGAACAGACCGCTGCAAGCAGGGAACGTCCCTTTACACCTGAGCAGGAGGTGGGCTGCACCTCCCGGAGGCCTCCCTCCTAGACTTCACATGACAGAGAAGATGCAGGGTCTGTCCCCATGGAGACCCCGAGTCCCCGGGACTGCAGCAGGCTTTTGGAGCCCCAACCTCCATCCAGCCAGATACGCAGCCTGTCTCCTGGTGACATCACGCTCGGGCAGCGCAGGCCAGCTTTCTGGTGCCTGGCCATTCCCACATCCCTTGTTCCCGACCCTCACTGGTCTGTGGGGGAGTGGGGAGAAGGCACTCAGCTTCCTACTGGGTCCCAGGTGCCACACGCCGGCTGGACTCGGAGTCTGGAGCCACCCGGCGCGGCCTGTAGAACCCAGCAGTCGCCCAGTCATGCCAGAGCCCCAGCTCCCCAGGTCATTCCCACCCCAGCGCCCAGGGGCTTGGGGACCTTCCAGAACCACAGGCTGACGTCAGTTATTGTGGGGAGCCAGTGAGGGGTGGTGACTGCTCCGGGTTTATCTGACAACAGTTTGGTTGACTGAGACTGCTGATGCCACACTCTGGAAATCCCAGAGTCAGTCCTTCAGAGTTCAGCTGCCGGCTGGCAGGGAGCCAGCCGGGTGCAGCCTGGAAAAATGCGGGCAGGCAACCTCTCTGGGACTTTGCCCCAGCCTCTCTCCCAGGGACCCAGGAGGAGGGCCCTGCCCAACTGGAGACCAACTGGAGGCCAACTGGAGCCACTGGCTTTTAGGCATGGCATTGGAACCAGGCAGGGCCTGCCCTCCTCAGCCTCCCACCTGCACTGTGCCGCATGCAGAACACAGCAGGCCAATGTGTGTGCCTACTGAGTGCCGGTGCATGCCTACTGTGTGTTCTGGCACCAGTGCCTACTATACATGCCCGTGCTCACACAGAAGAAACTGCTACAGTGGCAAAACTGGCCACAGGCTTGGTCCCTGGGCTTGTCCTCACCCCAGATGTGCCAGTGGGTCCCAGCGGGACCCGAGCGATAAGGAACCACCTAGCTCTGCCTACTCATTGGAAAGAAGACTCAGGAACTGTGATTCTCAAAGCGCGGTCCCAGGGTCCACAGGATCAGCAGCCCACAAATCCACGCGGGTGTGGGTCCCTGGTGTTCAGCTCAGATCTGCTATCAGAGCCCCCGCCTGGGCCCGGAAGCGAGCTGGGGTCAGCAGGGTGGAAATGCTGGAGCCTGCCCGCCCTTCCAACCCACGCCTGCCACTTGAGGAAGTGCCCTGCAAGAGGCTTCCTCCCTGAGCTGTCCTGTCCCTTGTCCTTTCGTTGACACTAATGGCAGAGTAGATGCATGGCTGGTGTGATTCCAGCAGGGCCCCCAGGAGACTGCTGGGAGTGTCCACCATCCAGACTCAGGTCCCAGAGAGGGAGAAGCCACCGACCCAAGGCAGGCCAGGTAGTGACACCAGGGCCTCTTCACGGCCCTGCCCCTCCCCCAGGTCTCCCTCCTTCCACAGTCAGCTGCCTGGGGCTGGGCAGGGCAGTGGGAAAGCTGGAGGAGAGGGGAGGGGAAGCAAACAGGAGTGACACTGACAGTGGCAGCAACAGGGACAGTGGTGAGCAGGGGGGGCGACCACAAGAGAGGGTAGAGAGAGGGAGACAAAAGCGGAAGTCAGAGTTCTCTGAAATCCCCATTGCGACCAGCAAGAGTTGCTGGCGACATCCCCAAAATGGAGAATGGCAAGTAACCCCTACCAGCCCGGAGCCTGGGCCGCTGGGGGTCCACTAGCCCACCTGAGCTCACACGGGCAGCTAGGCCCAAGCCACAGACCCCTGTCCTCTTCCTCTTGTTTTTTTGAGACAGGATTTTGCTATGCACGCCAGGCTGGCCCTGAATGCACTGTCTTGAGGAAATCCTCCTGCCTCAGCCTCCTGTGTTGGGATTACAGGCAAGGGCCACAACACCCAGCTGGCCCCTATCCTCTTGCAAAAGGAGCTCTGGTTTCTTCTGCAGGCCCCAGAGCCAGAGGACAAAACCCAGGGACTGAGGACCAGCCCCGCACAGCTTCCTTACACTTGTGCAGAGGCGCTAGTTGCTTCTTTGGTGCACACGGAGCACATCCCAGCATGGATCAAGGAGGAATACGGGGGGCAACAGCAAGCAGCCCACTGCTGGCACCAGCGAATCTGAGGCTTCAGTGGCACCCCGCTGGGTCTCGTTCCTTACCCGCACACCTGTTGGCTGACAGAGAAGTTTTCACCATCTCCACCCCATAGTGAACTTCAGATGGGCAAAGATGCAAAGGAATTTGCCCCGAGCACCACAGGTTGGGGCTTCTCTGGAGCTGCCCGGCCTCGAGGGAGCCACGCAAACACTGCGGCTCGCAGGGAGGGGCAGGCAGCGGACACCTAGATCACACGCCACACTCGGCCAGTGGTGGACACTGGTCATCTCCAGGGCAGCCAGGGGATCGCCCGAAGGGGAGGGAGGGCCCCTCTCCACAAGCAGGAAGGAGCACTTCACAGGAGCGAGGCCCAGCTCCCGCCCTCTAGGAGCGCACATCTCCAGGCTCACGGCGCTCCCACATTCCGAAGGGCACCCAGCTTCCCTTGACAGACTGAAAGAACGAAAGCAAAACCCTCCTGTCCCACTCAGAAAAGTTTTAGAAAATCTTAAAAAAGCACTTGGGAGGCTGAGGCAGGGGGATTGCTGCAAGTTTGAGGCCAGCCTAAACTACACAGTGAGATCCTCTCGAAAAGACCAAAACAGAAAAACTTAAAAAGTAATTAAATGTATAAATACCCCAGCCCAGTGTAGAGCACACACCTGTGCTCCCAGTACTCAGGAGGCTGAGGCAGAATGATCGCCACAGGTTCAAAATGCTACACAGTGCGTTCAAGGCCATCCTGTGATATATAGCGAGACCCACATTTAAAATTAAGGTGCTGGGAAGATAGCTCAGTAGAATAAGTGCTTGCCTAGCAAACACAAGGTCCTGAGTTCAAACCCCAGATCTGCAAAAAAAAATTAAATTAATTTAATTTAATTTAATTAAATAGCACAGAAACATCTCAGGAATAAAAAGCGTGGCTTATATTTTGGTTCATTCCTGCTGACCCGTGCATGCAGAGGTTTGGGTTGCAGTTCATGTGTCTGCACTCACGTGGGTGTGTCATATGTTGTCCCCGTCCCCAAAGGCTGAGGGCATCAAAGATGATTCCTGGCTGAGCTCTCATTAAACGCGAGTGACCCAGCTTCCCAGCGACAGGAAGGAGCATGATCGCGCCCGCGAGCCCCAGGGGCTGCGCTGATCCGGATACCCAGATTGCAAGGAGGCACGCAGGCCCACTGACAAAGCGCCTGCTCCTCACTTCCTTAAATGGAAGTTGGTGTGTTCGATCCGTTCCCCCTCTGCCTCGAGAGGAGAAGCTAGCGTCCCTGAAGGCTGAGAATGTCACCGTGGTATCTATGCCGAGGCACCTGGGGCCACCGCAGTGCTCGGAGTCTGACTGCCAGGGCACCCAGAGCCCTTCTGTGTGCTGCTTTGTATTCCTGCATCTCCCTTGCGAAGTCTGGCCATCAGTTAGTCATGTAAGAAGCATTTGACAAGCTGTGCTCCGTGCTCTGGGGGCTTTCTTCAATCAAACACCACTTTCATCCTGAAAAAATACTCAGTTCAGCAGGACAAAGCAAAGCACAGCGTGTAGGGCAGAGTACCGCTCCAGGGCAGAGGCCCTGGCTTCTGTCCTAGGCACACACTCACAAAGCACGATGAAGTCATCCGTTGGATGAGCTGCTCAGGGAGCAGAAAGAGGCCAGCTGAGCCTGGGGCTGGCTGGGCGGGCTTCCCGGAGGAGGTGGTGCTCAGCCTGGTTTCGAGGACACTTTGGAGCTCGTCCA